CTTATAGCAACAAAGGCTTATCCTCATGGACAGCTTTTCCCTTTGTTTCTTAACAGCAGCAAGGTTGGAACTAGATGATCTTTAAGGTCCCTTCCAACCTGAACCACTTGATGATCTCTGTATCCAGGCAGGAGGGCAGTAAGAGAAAGTCACTCTCCCTCCTCTGCTATGAACTTGGCAAAAAGATGCCTCATTTATGGTGCCAGGATAAGGAAAGCAGTAACACACCACGGGGAGGAGTACGAAAGAACTGCACTTGTTACAGCTGTTTTCTGCAGGGCTGAATCCTTAAAAAACCCTGCTGCTGACTGCACAGTCCTGGGGGTGAGCGGGGCATGGTGTCTGTGTGTGCTGACAAGTAGGAAGAGTAGCTCTGTTCACACCAGACGGCTGCACTTTGTAAAGCTAAGCCACTGCAGGTGGTTATTAGTCTTTCTTCTTTTTCTGAAAACAATGCTTTTTTAATGCATGTAATGCTAGAAGGGTTCATGTGCAGCAATGTGTTCCCTGCTTCTGCCTTCCTCTCTAAATTTTCGCTCAGTTGCAGACACATCAGTCAGAGGTGAATATACACAAGAAATACTTGCATCCATATATGTTACTTCTGACAAAGGGGTGATATATGACTGGTTTATGTGGTTTGCAGGAGAACTTACCTCCCATCAGCTGCAGTTTTGCTGCCACAGATACTTTTTGGCAGCAATAAGAGAGGACAGCAAGAATGAAAATTTCCTGAGTTTTATGGTTTTATAAAATAGCTTTCTGGCTTAGTCTCTTCTACAGCAGTCAATCTGGCAAGGCAAAAATAACCCCAACACTTTTGTCTCACATAATTCCCCCCAAAAGTAGGTAAAACCTGCTCCCTGGTACGGGATGGACAGGTTGCAGGGTACTGATAGACACAAAAGGGTGGAAATACTGATAGCCATTCTGCCTGCAGGCTCCCCTTGAAGTTCCTCACTGTCAAAAGAGAACGATTTGAAGGTCTCCGTTTCTTTCCTCCACAATGTCTCTGCATCTGGTGAGTCTCAGCAGTCCATTTTTTTCTTCTTTTAATACTGCGCCTCAGTCTGAACACCACCCATAAAAATTGCTGCAGCATGCCAGGTCCCACACAGAGTTCAAAACATAGGTGCCACATCAAGCTTTCATCATGACCTTTACCGTGACCCTTGTGTCCCCCAGTTCCTGGGAGTTCTCTGCTGCTGGAGCATAAGCCCTTCTGGGAGGAGCTGTCCCTTTATTTGCTGTGGAGCACTCTGCTGTCCCGTGAGGAATAAAAAATAACAGCGGTGGGTTCCAGTATGCATGGCATGAACGATGTGGCTGCCAAGAACCAAGGCTTGATCCTCGTGTTCCACAAAAAGAACGGCTCAGTGTATTTAGCACATTGCTCCAAGTGATTAATCCAGCCAGTAAAGGCGGAGGTTTTTCCTAAGGTACCTGAATATCTTTTAAAACTATGTTTTCATTCTGTTGGAGCAACAAAGTCTTAGAATTGAATAACCTAATTTTTACTAGTGCTGTGATGAGTTGTGATCAGGAATGGAAAAAACAAGATAAAATAGTAGCCTACTGTATCAAATGTATTTGCTCAATAATCTTTCTGGTATCCAGGAGCTTATCAGAAACCTCGTGCCAGGTACAGACTGCCCTGGGTACAACCTGCCGCTCCTGCTGGAGGGGTGTCCAGTTCAGCTGTCCCAGTTCAGAGAGCTGCACACGGGGTATGTTGCAGGAAGCATTCGGTGCTTTCATACATTTGTGTTATCAAACTTCTCTTTTAATGCAGGAGTTGTCCCTTCAACACAGAGTAATTCTACCTGCAGGCTATTTAGTGAAGAGCCTTGCTGTTTTTGGGCCCGCTGGAAACTATTTAGCACTGTTTACAGAAGAGAAAAGCAGGGCCACCAGATCAGCAACCAAATCTAAAACTGATTTCAAAGTACATTCTCCGATAGAACAACACACATCTTTCTAATTTAGGGACATGAGTGGATATCTGAGTAAAACATCACTGTTGAAAGACAGCCTGACTTTCACGAACCATGGGGGCAAAAAAATGTGCATACCTTCCAGAAGAAAACACTGTAGCTAGGTCTCAAAGGTAACTCAAATCTGACTAGATTAATTTAACATCTGTCAGTTGTATTTCTAAATCAAAGCATCGTTAGTGTAATATACATGCCAGCTGTAAAGTTCTTATTTCTGGAGTGAAAAACATAAAAGGTAGAAACAGAAAAAATGGTGAAAAACTGTTGGTTGTTTCAACTGGGCTCTTGTAGGATTTTACAGAGTTTGGGGGGGGGAAATCAGTATTTTATTATATTTTTAATCAGAGATTCATTGGGTCTGGACTAAGTACATTTTGATTCCAGTATTCCAGTCTGATTTTTTGAATGTATGGTTCACCTTTATTTATGTAATAGATCATATTTTTCTGCATATAGTTCTTGGTATTGATAGTGGGATAATGACTGACTCAAATTTTTTCTTAAAGAGCAAATGAAAGTTGAAAAGCTGTCTTAGGATCTTTAGCTATGCATTAGCAAACAGCACTCTACAAAACTGAGTGAAATGCTAAAATCTAGCCCCAAAGAACGGAATAGTGAGGTAAATAGGAGCAAGAATTCAAACATAATTACATTTATAGCAGTCAATGAAGAGTTGACTAATTGGAAAAAAAAAAAAGTTTGCAAAAGAAATAGAGCTTGAAGGACTGATACAAAGAGAGCAGGAAGGGATGGAGGATGCTTGTTAAGAGTGACATTGCCCCAGTCAAGGGTTTTAAACGTGGGGGGAAGAAAAGAGGAATAAAACCAATACTGATACAGTGGGAAACCAAAGTACCCAGGCGGGATTTCAACCACTCTTTGATCTGTTTTTAAATATCCAAAGTGAGTGGCCTTAACCACCTTCTTCCAAGCTGTGGTTTAACAAACAGGTGAAATGAGGTAACACATTGCAACTGCAAGGGGTAAGGTCTGGGTTCCTCCTGCCCCTCTCCTGTGTCCTCTCCTTGCCCTTGTGCCACCTCTGGTCTTCTGTGGCTTCCAGATGAGGCAACACAACTCACTAACCTACAGACAAGTGGCCAGTGTTTTTGGGGGCTTCAAAAAAACCAAATATACCAAAGCCCAAAGACAGTAAATAGTGGAGCCTGTGCCTGAAGGAAGGGTAGGAGGAGAGAGTGGGATTTTCCATTTTCAGCCATGCTGAGCTGCTGCCAGGACACCCTGAAGTGCAGATCTGTAGCCTGTGACACCTCACTTTGAGGATTTCTTCCTGACTCAGTTTCCTGATGTTAGCCTGTGGCATTGCCCTTAATAAGAAAAATAGAGATTTTTTTTCAGTTCGTGTTGTAATTGAAGCTTTATTGGGTC